ACACACACACACACACACACACACACACACACACACACACACCATGAATGGGAAACAGAAAGGTCCAATCTGTGCAATAGTCAAGCAAAGATCACTTCTACAGTTTACAATAGCTCCCTTTTTATCCATGGGAATTATGTTTCAAGACCCTCCATTGGATGCCTGAAAATATATATGATACCATGTCCTATAGGGGATCCATGATAAACTATGGTAGAGTTTAATTAATAAAGTACCTTTAGAAATTTACAATAATAGCTAATAAAATAGCAAAATGGTAACAACATATTGTGATACCCATTATGTAAACACACTCTCAAAATATCTTACTGTGCTGTATTCACCTAGTTTTGGATTGTGGCTGACCACAGGAAACTGGAACCACAGCAGGAGGTTGTAGGTTAGGGAAGGTTTCCTGCTGTGTACATAAAGAGCTGTGAATTTTTCACAGGAGAGAAGCCTTGTGCTTTTGGACTATAAGAGATTTCACAGAACTGTGGAATGCAAAGTCTCAATGCAGGATGCTCCTCTGTTGTTTCAGAGTCTGCAGCTCTGTTGTGGCTTTTCCCTGGACCTTGGGGCAGTACAGTGTTCTGATAAAAGCCACCATCCCTGAAATATTTTTGTATCTTCCTCTCTCAGCTGAATACTAAACAGCACCTGATTAGAAAACTCCAGCAGCTTGCTTGATACTCAGCTATAGTGGGGTTAACTGCCCAGGAGCAGCTCTCCTGGAAATATACTGCATATGTATTTTTTTTCCTGCATTAGAGGGGCTCTGCTTTAAAAGCCAGTTTCTCATAATTACTTTCCTGTTGTCATGACTCTGTTCAAGTTTAGTGTACTTTACCTGTGGTAGCCATTGCTATGCCCTGTATATCAAATGGATACTCAGCTGTGATGCCACAGACGCCTTTGCAATTAGCTTAATGGAATACTCAGTTGACTCAGTCACTTCCCCCTTAATCCTCCTCCTAGACCCTCAGTGCATTCTGTGCTCTCTGCACAAAGCCCTGCCCTGGCCAGCTGGAGAGTAATGTAGACCAGCCCATACTTACACTGTGCTGCTGGTGAAGGAATGGGCAGGATCTCCAAGTAGCATTGGTGAGGAGATACAGGCATTTCCACGAAGTCTATTAAACCTGTTGGATTGGAAAATCTTGAAAATTTTGCTCTGCTTCTAAGGTGAAGTTTGAGACCTTGGCAAATACACAAAAAGGTATGCCCTTACCTGCTTCCTGCTTTAGTACTTCTATTGCACCCCGTG